TTTTAGGAGGTGGCATATCACCAGTTGGCTCCACCACCTGTGGAGACTTCCCCTTGTCTGGGTGAGAAGACTCTGCCACAACGGGCAGACCCATAGGTGCCTCTGCATGATTAAAGAAGCAACAAATCAGAGACCAATAACACAAGCAAAGGTAAAACATGAAAAAATGTATTACCTTCTGGTTCGACGTTTAGGGGGTTGGCGCCCTAGGAAGAAGGTGGCTCGTCCATTGGTTGTGATGAAGGTTCCGGGACTGAAGGTTTCTCTTTAAGCGTAGTCCCTTCATCAGCTGGTTTAGACAAAACAGCTCCAGCAGAGGATGATGGAGCGGGAGCTGTCAACACCAAAGCCTTCAAAGGAGAGGCTGAATTTTTCTGAGAAATTCAAGAAAATCATTAGCACATAGAAAGGTATGCTTGTGAGTAAACAGAATTTGATTACCTTTCTCCTGACAATGAGAGGAGTGTCATCATCATCATCCTCCAAAATGGGAGATACTGAAGCTGGCCGTTTGCGACTTGGGGCACTTTTAGCTGTAGTAGGTTTGGCAGGTAGAGAAGTAGAGGGACGAACAAATTGTTTAGCACGAGCAGGGGAGGAAAGATTCCTAATGGACATAGGGGTAACCAAAATAGGAGAAGAGGAAAGAATGTTTGGCTGATCCAGTGAATGGAAAGCACGATTGGCATCAGTTGCAAACAATCTGCGCTTCACTGATTGCCAAAGTTGTTCAAAAAGGGGGTGAACGGCACGACTAGGATTGAAGGGGGCTAATGAAAAGTTACTCGTCAAAAGAATATTGCAAGCATCTATAGCTTGTGCCTCTGCCTTATTAATGGTGTGAAAGCGGTCTATCAAATTTTTTGAATAATAAGGGGAAACAGGCCGAGTTTGGCCAAAACCAAATTGACAAGCAAAAAATTGAGGAGCATATATTTCAACCCCAGCTTTGGTATTGGTTCCAGTTAAAATATCATGGAACAACTCCCTCCTAGTCAAAAACTGAACCCAAACGAGCAGAGAGGTGCTCGCACTGTCCAAGGTAAATGGAGGTTGCACATAATCTAGAGTTAAATGGGCAGGAAAGGGAAAGAAGGAAAGAATTGAATTTAAAGTATAAAAGAATGAAAAAATGTCCCTTCTAGAGATATTTACAGGGGTCAATGGCTAGCCCATAGCAATTGGCAGAACGAAGGGACATGGATATGGCACCAAGTGATGGAAAATAGGCTCTCAACCACAGTTGAGTGAACCAAAGAGGCCCACTGCCAATGGGAGATACACCATTCTTCAATTGAAATTGAAGAGAAGTCATGCCTCTATAGAGGGCAGCCAAAAAGAAAGAACACAAATTCAAAGGCCTACCACGCGCCAAATCGTGCGGTATGGGTAAATAGCTCATAGAAGGCTTTATACTGGACACACAAAAAATATATTTACAAAGCCAAATCTGAAGAAAGACCACACGCTCAGCGTGGGAAGGCTCAGCTTTTGAGTGATTATAACAGCCTTGCAGGCTTGAATAGGACTCAATGAGTTTTTTGTCAAATTTTGGAGCAACACTGAAAATTAAAATACCAGGGAAAATGGTGTCGTCCAAAGGTGGAAGATTTATCAGGGCCCCAATATCCCTTAAAGTAATGGACATGGGACCAAGAGGGAAAACAAAAGTATTATATTTAGAAGACCAAAAACTTAAAGCAATAGGAAAAAGTGCTGGGTCAAAAATTGGGGGTTGAAGAGAGATTTCTAATTAATCAGAAATCCTAGCACGATCAAAAAGTACCTTGGTAGGACCATGGCCCACAAGGCGAGCATACCATCTACGAAAAACAACATCAGATTTAGGCCAAGTGTGAATACCTTTTTCGCGAATCGACCTCAGCGGCAAAGAGTTTAGGAATGGAGGGCCTTGAGTACAAGGGAATAGCTGGCCCACTACCACTTGTTCGACGGTTTCGACGTTGTTAAATGAAGGACCCAGATAGAACTCATTAAGTTCGGCATTAGCTGGTGTAAGAAAGTTCGGGTTTACATATGGCCGAGTGAGGATTTTCTGGAAATCTTCGAAGCTAAAAGAGTCGTCAGATTGGATTTGTGGAGCAGCCATTGAGGACAAAATATAGTTTTGTTAAAGTTTGCTTGAGAAACGTAGCAGAGAAGCAAGAAGATGAACAGTCGTATGGCTAGAAAGAAGCACGAAATAATGAGGCGTGATTTAGTGGTACAACGAAATGGCGTATCTTTGGGGTTTATAAGTGTGACACCCCGAACTTAAGTTTCGAGGGTCACGTACTAAACATAATAACTTCAGTCTTTGGTACATGTAGATACTCTTAAATAGAAGTATTACATGTTAGAAACTTATTTTCAATTTGGTAAAACAATTCTTATAAAAATTTGATGGCCGGTAAAAGTGCATGCCAACATGAAATTATACATTACATATACGGCCTCGGCACTATCAAGGTTAGTTGGGGCAGCAAGTTTGACAATTTTTACAAAATTCATCCCAACTCCGTTTTACATGAAATTTGTGGCATTAGAAAGATAATTTCAAGTAGTTTTCTATATTAAAATATGAAAATTTTCCAAGATCATATGATATAGACGTTTTACTGAAAACAGTGAAGTGTTGCACAGGAAATCCAGATTGACCCCTCGATGTTTAAACCTTGATAACTCAGGCCATAGATATCCAAATTGAGTGATTTCTTCGGCCATATTTAGAAAACTCAAAGAGGAAACATAAATATTTTTAGAGTCTCAAATGGACGTTTATAGAGTTAGAAACATCATTTTTAAATTGACTCCAGAAACTGTCATGTTTCTGCCTTTTGTCTCTTGCAAGGAAAATAAACTACAAAAATGTCTCTTAACATAACATGAAAGATATAACTACAAAATTTACTATTAATACCATATTACATCATGTCATGTACATATTTTTACATAATACCATAAGAAAAACAGATGGAAAAGCAGTCATCGAACAAAACATACAAGAGGAAACTTTCAGTACAAAACATCTTTGTCCTTAATCCATCATCGATTTTGCCAACTAACTTCCATCAATCCAACGATCATGGATCTGAAAATTTAGCATAACATACTATGAGTATCAGGAATACTCAGTAAGATACTATGCTTGGATTTTTATCATGATAATACTACACAAAAGAATGCAATCAGACACATACTTGCACGTTCCGGCTTGCCGGTGCCCTTCGGACTTGTCCTAAGGCATAAATAGATATCTAACTTTGTGGACTTGTCCACCATAATCATATTATGGTTTTTCATGCATAGTTTAAGCATAGATATTACCATGAAGATCATACCCCTTAAGCATAGAAAGTATCTTACCGTAAAACTTGGAGATCTTCAATTGAGATATAAATTGGAAGTGCTAGACTTACTTCCTTCTCCTTTCCTTTCTTATTTTCGATTTTTTCCTCTCTATTTAAGTGTATAAATGTTTTGCAAAGTGAAGGAATTTTCTCTATGGCAATGGATATGGATGTGTATATATATATATATAAGGATAAGGATAATGGTTTGATATTTTTTTTATTTTTTTTTTCAGTCCCACCGCCTCACCTTGGATAAGCTCCATTTTTCTTTTTCTTTTTCTTTTTTTTCTTGTTTCTACACATGTTTAGTCTATTGTCTAAGTGTATGGTGATGATGAATGACAAGTGGGTTGATTATAGGGTAATAAGTGGCCATAAATCTTAGATTTACAAAGGAAGTCTCTCATCTTTTCAACTAATATAATCTAACCCCTCTAATTTTCATTATTAGCAAAGCATATCCCAAATTTAAACTTGTATCCAACTTACATATTCAAAAATTGTAGATTGTAAAATAATTTAATCGTTTGGTCAATTGAAATCCTAACAAAATAATCCACTTCATTCAAATTCAAACTTGACTTAAGTTTCGACTAACTAATAATCACTTTATGTATACACAACATTTAGCACTTCATGCTTGCATTCATTAGCTACCTCTAACATTAACCACTACAAAGGTGGTGTCCCCTTTTCCTTATGGCCAAAAAGAATATTGAAAGTTAAATCACTATCCTACGAAAATTTAAACGAGCATAAAATTTCGGAGTATTACAATAAGGGTTTGTAGCGTCGCACTTTTTCAGGCTATGGAAGGAAATAATGATTAAAATTATTGGGAATTTCAAATGTTGTTGGGAAACACAAAGTAAATGTGGCAAAAAATAATAATTAGTATTAATTCTACCATATTGGGGGGTAATTGTTGACACACTAAAAGGGCAACCCAAATCGAATAGCCCAAGGAATGAAGCCCAATTGGACAATTCAGGATAAAGGCCCAGATAGGGTTATTAATGAATGCAGTGGAATCCCACGAATACGGTAACATTATCGCCCAAGCCTGCAAGATGCCCAAGATCTGAGTGAATGAAGTGCCTTACAGTCGCCCAGAGCTATAACCCTGTTCTAGCCCAAACCTTCGAATCGCTCAGGATCTTAGCAAACATAAGATATTATGGTTATCTAGAAGTGTGGTTATTGAAGCAGTTATTGAGTAACCTTATCACGTTCCACAATTTAAGGAGTTCAGTTGAAGACGGTTGAACGACAAAGAGTAATGGCAGCAGTTAGAGACGGCAGTTCCACGACAAGTTAGCCACCATAAAGAAAGTGGGTAGTTATAAAGCAATCAAGCAGTTTCTAAGCGGTTGATCACGAAGAAATCATTAAGGGAATATAAAAGGAAGAGAAGACGTAGAGCAAAGGCCCCCCCGAATCAAACACTCTCAAATATAGAATATATAATTTCAAGTTCTTAGTTTAGACTTAAACATTTCTTTTCAGTACTCGTGTGCTTGCGCCCCTCGGAGGCATTCTGTTTAGTTCCAATTGTAAAGTCATCGCCACTAAAACACCTCTTTTTGGGACTTTGTCTTAAAAGGTTTCTTCTTTACACAATCGTCTGATTTTCTTTTTAATTGTTAGCGACTACTGCGCGAAACACTTATATACGAAACAGTTGATCAAGCCAAGGAAACAATCAAAGAGGGGTTCAAAAACAATAAATACCAGTATATGCCATTTTGGGAAGCAATAGACGAGATTTGGAACGAGCATCTCCACAACCCACTTCATTCTGCTGGTTACTATTTTAATCCATTTCTATTTTATTCAAATGATTCCTACTCCGATCCGGAGGTTTCCTATGGTATGGGCTATTGTGTCGTCAAGATGCCAAGAGATCACCGAGATCAAAATTTGATCATGGAGCAGGTTGTTGAGTATTCAAAGGCAGTGCGTTCTTTCAGTGAAGGAAGTGAACCTGAATGGCTATCAGATGTTTCGCAGCTTTCACCAGGTTTCATCATTACATTTTCTGCTATTTGTTCCCAGCTTTCACCAGGCAATGATAAGTTATATTGATTTGCCCGGGTATACCCGGTGTACTTGTATTTGATTATGGACATTGTCTCGCCCGGGTATGCCCAGTGTATTTGTACATAGTACATTTTTTATCTATATATTTACATTTACCGATATAAAAAAAATGATAAGTTATAGTGCATGTTAGGTTATTCTTAGAAAGTTCAATCATAAGTTTACTTGTTAGTAAAGAAGTGAGAGCATATAGGTTGTGTTTTAAATTCTCTAGGAAGATAGTAGACTTGCTTTCTGGTGAGGTGAGTTTTGTTGTGAAAAGAAGTAAACTTGAAAATCATAAATAAAATAAAAGTAAATTTGACATACTTTCAAATACAACAAAAAAAATACTCTTTTAAGTTATAATATAAATCTTTTTATTGGTCTAATTTGAAATAAAAATTAGGCAAGAGTTAGTTTCAAAATATGAGACTCTTCTTATATAATAACTAAGAAAAATGTAATGTCCAAAAATGTTTTAAGTAAAAAGTTTCTTAAAAGAGTAGCTTGTACTTTTTTTTTAAGCCTAGCTAGACATGCTCTTAAGTTCCAGTGTATCCTTACCTTCATGCTCTAATGGCAGTACTCTGGTGGACAAAATACCAAGAAAAATACCCTCAGTTGCAACAACTAGATATTCGAATTCTTAGCCAGACTTGTGAGGGAGCATCAAATTTAAGCTTAAAAGGAGTTTGGCCGAGATGCTACCCACCGAGGGAATGAATCTCATTGAACGACAGAAGTTAAGGGATCTGATGTTTGTGCATTACAATTTGCGGCTACAGATTTTTGAGTAAGGAAGTTGCATCTTTGGCAACGAAATCGACACAACGGATGATTGGATGGTTGATGTAGCACAACATGATGATGTGGCGAATAACGGTGAACCAGCATTGATGGACTAAGATTTTGGGGATACAATTGATTCCAGGGCAAGCAGTGCAGAATCTGAACTGGTTATATAATTTTTATCTTTATCTATACTAGACTGTTGGATATATTAAATGTGTGATAAAACCTATCTTGATGTTGAATAAGAGATTATGTAGCAGTAGTCTCTATAACGCGCGAGGTATTATGTTGTTCTGTTTATGTTATTTGTTAGTAAGATAATATATCAATAGTTGACCTGGAAAGACCTTTATAATATGGTAACTTTTTAGAATGACCTTTTTCGTTCTTTTTGCATAGTTAAAAGAGTGGATTATTGGTACATTTCACGCCTGGCGTTGTATTCATCAGAATTGGATACCGAATAGTTCATACAATTCAACACTTCCACGTCATTCTTTGCATAGAACATTGCAATTAGTACTATTGTGCACAGATTTCTGATCTTATTAGACTTTCTTGAGTCTAGACATTGGGCACGCATGTGCAGGAAACAATGCTGTTCGATGGGCTTAGGCAGAAGATGCACGAGGCAAGTCAGTAATTTGTATTCACATTTCAGATCAAGATTTATACCGTAATTGGGGTACAAAAAACTAATTTCTAACTACCAGACATAACAAATTAGTCCATATACCCACAATTAATAAAACTCGAGCACTTTGTTTTACAATTTGGAGATACATATGAACGAGAGCGAGACTTCAGTTTTCTGATCTGGAATTGCAGTGGCCCCATCTGCCAGTTTACTGGCTGCACCAACTGTAACACCACAATTTTTTAAATTAAGAGCTCGTAACAATTGAAATTTGCTAACATTAATAACTTTTTAAAAAACTAAATTTAATAAAAGCAAGGATGCTAATACCTTGAAACTAAAATTTGATAATAATGTCAAGCGATCAATAAATTAAAAACATCCTAAAAGACTCTTAAGTTCACAGCAATTCCATCAATCCGATATGCATGCAACACAACCCATTCTAATTTTGAAAAAAATTGAGCTTATTTTGAAAAACACGTACAAATCTTATTCCAACATAATATAAATCATACCAGAACATCACGTAAATTGGAGGAAATGGTCGCTCAAGGAATTTAGAACCCCTATATCTCATAGGATTTACATTAATTGATCTTAGAAGGATTTACTTTTGATCCAAAGACCTAAAAGTATCCGTACAATTTAGTATATAAAAATTACAAAGAACAAGAATTTAACTAGGAATGAGTTTAAAGGTGTATATAATTTGGATAAAGGTCAATGGAATTCTAATAGAATATTACAATAACTTATTAATCAAATTAGAATTAGAATATTAGAATAACTTATTAATTATCAATGGAGGACCAAGTCTATTCCTTCAAACTGATGGCCGAGAAGTTATTCACTAATCTTATATTATTTCCTTTAATTATCAATCAAACATAACTTCTTTGGACTGCAATATCCTGAGCCTCACTTGACCTGAAGAAAGGAGATTTGAGTTAAAGTTCGACCCAAAATGAATCGAAAAGAAACATGCACATGCAATTTAAGACAATAGAAATTACACACTACTCAAAAATTTGTATTAATGCGTGAAGATAGACAAACATTAATATGAATTGGATATCAGTTGACACCACCATTTCCCATTTACAATCCCCTTCGATACATTTTTTAACCACTGTTTTCATTTATATTCCCCTTGTGTATTCCCTTCTATTCGATTAATTTTGGTCTCATGGACATGAAAATGATATAAATTAGTTCTGATCCACAATCAAATATATAGCTAAGAAAAATCAGATGAATGAAGATATAATTTTATGTGTGCATGCGCAAAAACATGACTGTACCTCATAGTTTAGAAACACCCTGAATGACTTAGATAGGATATCTCGGTCATTGAAGGGGGCAAATTTGAACCACCAAACTATCAATTTCTTCGAACCTCTTCATTTTTTTGAAGCCTTATTTTCGTCATTTGACAATTAACACTGTCATTTCTTGAAGATGAATGCCATTTAGTTGCCTTGCAATACAAGTTAATGGCATTGGCATGCATACTCCCAAATACAGTATCAAATGCATATCCACAAACTAAAAGCAAATATGTTCCTGATCCAATGAGTAATAATGTATAAATGAAAGAAAAAAATACTAAAATGAACAGTCTACACAATAATGTCATTGAATGTAAAACTACACCATGGTACATAAAGCATTCCACAATACATATTTTTCTAGAATGATTAAACTTCAAGCTTGCACATCAAGTCCATAACAGCAAAGTCAACATTGTCTGGCTCCACTATACTTTTTCTTAGCTAATCTATTAACACAAAGCCTCTCTTTGCTCATGTTTATAAAAACTCAAACCACTTTTTAGCAACACATTTCTAGGGTCCAAAAAGTACAACCCCCTTATCCCCCACTCATTTTTTTATCCATTTATAATTTAAACCATTTATAAATACTTCCATGACATATTTAAAGTAGTGGAAATTACACTGAATGTCATAATTTGGGTTGTCATTTACAAAAATGTCACTTTTTGAAAGCAATTGCAAAATTATCAATTCTGGACAATTTTGCCGCCTCTAATTAATTTGAATCCCTTATATGTCCTTCAATAAATTGGACATGACTTGACTCCAAATTGTACAAGAACTATGACATGTCAGGTATAATTGGACTCATTGATGGAAATAAAAAAAAAAATGAAAAAAGAAGAAGAAGAAAACCAAACTAGACAATTTGAAACTCACATTCATCTCTCTCTCACATTAGGCCCAAACAGTGTGAAACCTTTCCCCTTTCTCACTCATTGAACCAGAGCTTAGCCAATCGACGACCACCGTGACGAAGGTCGCCAATGACGAAGATCGAAAGCATTTGGCGAACTCATTCCCATCCCTCTGTCATTTGAATCATAACAGCCCAACGTCAAACCAACGGATCATAACAACCCAACGGCAAACGCTCGACGACCGTCGTCAATGACCCCCTCACTGACGAAGACCCAACTTTCACTCTTGAAAACTCACTTTGCTAGACATTTTCTGTGAACCAACTTGGAGTACCCAATTCAGGTATGCTGAACGCTAAATGTTTAAACTAATTTTCGAATAATTGTTCTTGGAAATCCATCCATTTTGTGTTTTGTTCATGCTGAATATTTGATCTAAGTTTCTGTTGGGAGGGGTTTTGCGCATAAATCTCGTCCAACTCAAATCAGTGAAGATATTTTTTATCTAAGTTTCTATTGTGTTGTGTTTGTGTTTGGCAGAGAATTTATCGTTTAATTTTTCTATGCCTTCCAGGGAGCGGGCATGCTAGCCAATTCAGAAAGAAATAGAAGTGCTCCACTCTTACCTTGAAGGCATTGACAAAGACTCTTTTGGATTTGATTCTATCTTCCCTTCCTAAAGAAACCTGTAAATATGGGACTGATACAGTGTCCCAGTTGAATCATAAGGCAAGTTTTGTTGATGCATATGTTATGAAAAGGTCATGAGGCCATAACATTTTCTGTCAACTTTTTACCTTCTCTTAAATCATTCTCATTTTCTTGTCAATGTGCTTCCATTTCCTTGTTATGAGAAAGGATGATCACAAGATATATGGTTTATACATAAATTATGAAATAGCTGATGTAGATTGTTTAGTTTTCTGGTGTTTGGTGATTAGATATTTCTATTTTGTTGACCAGTTTTGGTGACTTCCTCTAGTTGTATTGCTATTCAACAATGTTGTGACTACAAACTTAGCCAAATAAGTTACCTAGCAACAGCAATGATGTAGAAAAATTCCATGGGATATAGAACAAGTCCATCGTCTTGGTGTATGGCGTTGTCTTTTCCAACTCCCCGCCATCCCCAATAAGTGATGGTGTGATGGTTTCTTCTTAAAACCAAGTGAAGAAATCTCAAAAATCTATCAAATGAAGGCGTTAAAAAAAATCTCAAATAACTTCTACTATTGATATTAATATATGGGGATAATTTTCTTCTCTTACTTTGGATTCGGCCGCCAATAAGTATACTTTTTTAAACAATCTGCTCAAAAACGTAATTCATGAGGTACAAATTTCTTATTGATGGTCCACATTATTCCTAAATTGTCAATAAAAATTGTTCACTTACGTCCTCTTCAACTGATTAGCAAAGAAGATATTGTAATTGAATCAATTACGAACTTTTTTATAGCAGGATAAACAATTAGTTGATAAACATATTTTTAAAATACCAATTCAAATCGAAAAAATTGTGGAAATCTAACAAGTCTATGAAAATGTTATTTTATTTACAAAACACCCTCTAGAATGGCTATATGTACAGTAAATAGCTTATTAAAAACTTCAGCAAAAACTTGATGGGACAAAAGTACCAAACAATGTAAAAAACAAACAAAAAAATTAAAGAGTAATAATAAGTTAGATTATTAATATGTTGAAGGTGGGCCCGAGTGGTTCGAGACATTATTACACCTACGATTTTCTGGTGGAACTGATTTATAATGCTAACTAGTACTTCGATTTCTCATAGAACTCATTAATGTAATCTAATTTTAACTTAGTTTCATGATAAGTAAGTATTTATGTGGTGGAATGCTAAGCCCATTATTACCTCTATGATCTTTTGGTAGAATTTATTAATGCAATTTCATTTTGCTGCACCTACAACTCTTAATTCTTACCAGATTTTTATGTATTTTTCATGAAAACACTCTTTTCTTTCTAGGTACGAAGGAGAAATTAGATGAAAATAATTCAAGCATTTCGATATTTAGTATATTACTAAATATTTAGTACATATAGCTTAAAAAAATAATAAAAGTATAATTT